ATAGATAGATAACATATGGATGGATGGATGGATGGATGGATGGATGGATGGATGGATGGATGGATGGACGGACGGACACACACACACACACGTGTATATATAATAGCACTTCTGTTGTTGGCATTGATTTATTTTGCTTCTGATGTTCGGGCATGAGGCTAAACTCTAAGTAGGTTTTACTTCAAGCTAAGACCTACTCAGCTCACTGTGTAGCCAGCGTGAAGGCTACAACCTTGAGGTGTCTGAACTGTTCACACGTTCTATCTTAGCAGCTTTTCATGTTCATCTTAGCTTCTTCCTTAGCTGAGGTAGTGAAAATATCAAAAAGTACAAGTAGGAGTGAGCTAATGGACTATTCCATGATTTTTCAGATGTACGTGAGCCTTGGAGTAGGTTTGTTCTTGACTAGTCCTCATCCTAGCTAAATAGAACAACCAGGTTCTGAAGAAATATATGTTACAATGTGATATGCCTGAGATAAACATTTCAGATATATATGTGATGGCTCTTTTCTTAATTCCTTAGAAGCATGTGACTGTTGAAACCAAGATTTGGAATAGATAAATAGTTGGTCCAACATTCATGGAGAGGATTTCAGGACAATTAAAATACTTTCCTTCCAGGGTATTATATAAGATCTAGCTATACAAATGCCAAATATTATGAAACACTGTTATGGGAATATAATCTTAACACTGCTTACCATTTGTCATCAATTCGTATTTGGGGATTCTTTCTATCCAGAAGAGGGCATTAGACCCCATCTCATGGCTGTTTTATATGTTCCTTTGGTCATTTAATCTCTCCTGTTGTTTAACTGTTTGGATGAAGATCACAGCTGGTTTCCAGTTACAAAGTAAAAACTTACAGCTTTTTTCTGGTAATTATTGTGTTTGTGTTATTCTAAGGTGACACAGAAAATCCTTCAGGGATGCCCTACATCCTGCTTAACATCAGTCTGAAGTAGTGTTTTTCAAACTTGGCAACGTGAACATGGGTGGACTTCAATTCCCAGAATTGAAATTGCAATCATTGATATCTAGCTCTTTCTGATACTATTTTTAAAATTTATTTATTTATTATTAAATTGATATGCCGCCCATCTCCCCCAGAGATCTGATTTATACTAGCTGATTTATAGAGATAAACATGTATTTGATCTGAGTTTGATCCTGTCCCGTCTATTTTTTTCCACAAAAGCTACTTCCGTGTGTGGGTTTGAGTGATTTTTTTTTTTTTGGTAAGGTGCCTCCCTTCCTCCCTTTTGAAAATTAGTATTTAAGGAATTGTAGTTAATGA